CTCTCTCTCTCTCTCTCTCTCTCTCTCTCTCTCTCTCTCTCTCTCTCTCTCTCTCTCTCTCTCTCTCTCTCTCTCTCTTTCTCCCCCTCCTTCTTCTCTTCTTCACTCCCATTCTCCCACTTCTCATTCCTCTTTTTTTCTTACCGCGAGCGAAATTAGGCTTAGTCTAATTACTCTCGAAAATACGAATTACAATATTGAAATTAATATTTTTATCCGCATTATTGCTCATTAAGAAGCATAGCCAATGATTGCGTTCTACGACTTAAATATTTTTTTAAGTCGATATTAATTGCATGCTTGTATGGATCCTTGAAGAAAACTCTTTCGTCGCAACGTTCCATTCATATGATACGATGCGATACAACTCAACGTAGGGCTCTATGTATATGCGTGCGCGCGCGCACATGTGACGATGACTAATCCATGCGAATGTGTCATGTTGCAAAGGACGAAGAGATACGTCTGTAAAAATTGAATGCTGGTACAATCCCATTCTTTCTCTTACAAACATACATGTAGATATCTATTTGTTTTTTTATTAATTATCAAATTCGTTGGTTTAAAGAGTCCTTCTCAAATTTTCAAATTAGACGAATTGTACAAATAGGAATTGGAATGATCGCCTGCTTGGTAGACTCGACTAGTCGTCGGCGTCGATTCGATTTCTCAATTTTACGTGAAATAAGTAGTACATAAATATAGTGATCGAGTATTATCGCACGATTGAGATTCCACGTAGCACGTATGTACCGAGTGATGGCGTCAACCGAGTGTACGACGGTACTGTTATAAGACAGTATCATATAAGATAGAATCACGTTAAGCACATAAGCTGCATTAAATCAATATCGTTGTCATATTTACAAATGGTTAAACATTTAATAATAAAATCTCCGCTACAAGCGCGCGCGCGCGCTTTCTTTAAAAAAAAAATTTTTTTTTAAAAGAACATTTATATAATGTTCTTTTATGAATTTTTAATATTACATTTAATATCGATTTAGACGACATACGGGTATTGCATCGGCTATATAGATATCGATGTGTCAGTGCGATGCCATACCCATCTATCAGCCCACTTTGGATACGTCACTTGACAATTAACGAGTTTCTCTACTCTTTTCGCGGACAATTTATGCTCAAGCACGCGCGTTGCAAGTAGCGAGAATCATCGCATCAAATTCCGCGAAACCGTATGATAGCTCAGTTTGAGTCTTTCAAATTTATTTCTCGAATCATTTTTAATATGCGAATATCTTGTTTATTCATCCAAAATGACATGACCCGATCGTACGTCGGATTTTAGCGACGGTGATAACACGGGCAGATAATGACGTGTCTCGCGTCTGCTAAAAACAACGTCGATGATTCGATGACTCGATGTAACAATTCGAGAGTCTTACGAGAGCGAGACCTCTTTCAAGACCTTGACGCGAGACCTTATTTGGTAGACAAGGTCGAAACGTCTCTTGGGTCATTGGGTCTTTAGGACGCGCGAACACAACAGAGCTAATTATTTTATTTCAAGAAAAATCGGCGTGCGCCGAGATTAATCGAGATATGGAGATCGGATGAGGCTGTTGACGAGACACTTGTCATGCCATACGTCACGCGCGATGTTGCCATAGAGAAGACTCATCTAAATAACATAATGATAATAATCACGTCAATCGCGTCACGAAACCGCTACGTGGTTTAAATGACTCGATCGAGAGTAATCGGGCGTTCGCGTACGAGTTGAAACACGCGATCATTCGCAGGATGAATCATCGAAAGCACGCGGATATTACTAAACGCACTCGTTGTGCGGAAACCTTTGGGAAACGATAATTCCACGCACTCATCTGCAAAGGAGGGTATCGGCAAATTAACATCCGTTTTTTCCCACATTTACATCCGCGTATATCCGCGATGGCAGCCGGTCACGTGTTCGACGGCGCGGCGAGACCACGAGCCACGAGCCACGAGCCATGAGCCACGAGACAACGAGACTCGGAGTTTCGAGAAGGAGCGTATCGATTTTGAGCGTCAGGCTCCTCTCCCACGTAGTTCGTCGCACCGGTTAAATGCGTCTGTCTTGTCTTGCCTGTATCACCCAACGCTATATCGCGTAGGACCTACACTCTACACCCTTGAAACGTAGAGCAGACTTGGGAGGCAAGCATATATGACGTGGCAAAAGAGTGCAACGCACTCGTCGCCTGCCCTTGAATCCACGTTGGCTGGAAAATCTACTTGCTGGAAATGTACAAATGTGCAAATTCGCCCCGAGAAAGACCGCGTAAAAAAATCACGTCTCTCATCGCGCCTCTCATCGTTCTCATTGCGTTGACGGCTTCGATCTTGTTTGATTTCGAGATTTATTTTTATAACATTTTATACTTATGTGTCATTCACCTGTCTCTCGTGGAGCGCGAAATCGTCATTTCATTTCAGTAAATTCGAGAAAATTTGTCTGAAATCTTAATGACAAACATGCGATTGCGGCGATATACAGCAGTCGCGTACATACACACGTGGATTTCGAAATCGAATCAACATCTCTTTTTTATCTTTAAACTGAACTTTTCAAACTTGAAAAAGTTGTCGCGGAGCATCGCCGTGCGCAACGCAGATCGCCGAGATGTAGCGCTTTCGCGCGAGTAAAGCTAAGCGTCCGATGTGCAACCTATTCGGATGTATAATTTAAAGGTACGCGCCTATCGCCAACGTACGTGCGTACGTACGAGATCGCAAGCTCATGCAGGTAGCTACGAGGTAGTTAATCTTAAAGCGAGTCTTTACGCTAGTGCACGCTTCCAAGAGACACGCTTTCCGTATCGTACGATTTGAAACGGCATTTGGAGAATCTAGCCGCTAGCCGGCCGGCGGACCAATCGGCGTGTCGCTTTCGTTTTATGCCCATATATGGCAAGAGCTGTGAATCCGTACGGTGGGAGAAGCTGACTGGACGAGTCTATTGTGCATAGCGAGGGGTGTCTCGCAGATCGGTAGGTGCCTACAAACACACGTCACACATATCACGTCACACGTATGTGTGGAGGTGTAATAAAACGATGAATGCAATCGGACGTCGTTTCTTTCGAGCGCATAGATATTTAATCATTCTTCTCGCAATCGCGTGCATTACGTTCCGAAAAATGGATGGATATAAGTTGAAATTTAAAGAAATATCGATAAAAATGTCAAAGACGTCGCATGCCAACCACACCTCTGGACGAGTCCATGTAACGTGACGTGAGCTGCGCGAGGTGGCGCGGCGCGGCGCGGCGCGGAGCGGAGCAGCGCTCGCGATACCGGCTTGTGGCTGACGGTTGTCCGACCAGACGATTTCGCTCATAGCATTCGCGGTGCTGCACGGTGTTGCTTCTGTTGCTGCTGGCCGATTATCACTTTCGCCTATATTCGATCCGCTCGCTCGCGAACAGCGTTCAACAGCGTTTAACAGTTTTTCACGGCGCGCTAAGAGACAGGTAAGTGGATAGGATAGCCGCGTGTCCCGCGGCGCTTACATACGCCTCGCTACGCCTTCTCTTTGAATCTGATCCGCCAAGGTGAGATCAGCTCGCAAAGAATGAAATGTATAATTGTAAATCGCGGCGGGATGTCATTTTGAATTTAACGAACGCACGGTCAAATTTTGTTCATTTTCTCTTTTCTTCGCGTCTTTTGGATGTGTCGCCTTTTGCGCGGCGGCTTTTTGTCTGGAATCGCGTAACATCGAGGCAGTCGACAGGTTGTCGACGACAAGTGGTTTAGTAGACGTAACGCCAAGACGGCCAGGCAGGTGGTTGCGAGGCGACGACGATGCGAAGCTTTATTAATAGCAACGACGCGTAACGCGTTACTAACCTACCGCGCTTACGACAGATGGGCGTCTCTTCGTTTCTTTACGCGATGTAACGCGTAATCGCACATACGTGACTAATTCCAATTTCCCTATTCATCACGAGATTGAAATGTTTGGAAGAAATATATCTCTCAAATCATTGAAAAATCAACTTTAGATTATCATATTTCCGTCATGAATAACGAATGTCTACGCGAATTGGTTCAAGAATGAAATTGCCAAACGAAAGGTGTAATTTACAGACGAATAATCGATTATCTCATACAGCCGATTCATTTAAAAGATTTTGTAGAATATTTGATAGTTAATTTATACGTTCCATCGATAGATATCATATCGGTATACCGTGAAGCCGACCGGCTTGTCAATCTTGTCATCGCTCCGCGTTACGAGATAGAGAGGTGGACAGAGAGGGAGAGAGAAGAGAAAGAAAAAGAAAATATGAGAGAGAGGAGAGCGTGTACATGTATGTGGTGTTTTGTGCGTGTGTGCGTGTGTGCGCGCGCGCGCGCGTGTGTGTAGTGTGTGAGTATATATATGATGGAGCGGCAGGGGGGCTACGGACCCCTCTGTGTCAGAGTACTTCCATATATGGTAAAGAAAACCAGGATTGGTTGAGGATATCCCACCCTTATTGGCCAAGCGTCGAGTGGTGGGGCCGAGGAACAACGCATCTGTTCATATAATACACCGTGAACCACGATCGTTGGGTACATTCTGCGTTTAGTGCTAGATCGGTCGACTGTGCGACAGTGTCGCTGCTCAAACTTGTATATAACTTCAATCTTTTTATACAAAACGTAAGTCTATATAAAGTGTCAGCGATCGCGGAGCGATATCTAGGATTAGCGTAGTAATCGTTGCGAAGAATCGGGGAAAAGTTATAGAAAAAGTGCAAATAATAGTGGTGAATGTGTATTTTAATTTCGGATGTTGCGTAGCGCATTCAGTGTTTAAGGTGAAGACATTCGGGGGATGTATAATTGATGTAATCATTAGGTCACTACACCTTTGAAAATTTTAAACCATTGCAAAATAAAGTTTAACGAGCATGCATGTGTTACTTGATAGGCCCAATATCGTGACATTGCATATACGAGATGTGAAATCAAAGCTAAATTTGTAAAATGTTACAAAATTTCGAAAAATGTTTTTTTATTAACAAGGGTAGAGTGAAATCGAATTGAGTCGAGTCGAGTCGAATCGAGTTGAGTTGAGTCGAGTCGTGTCGTGTCATGCGGAGCAGGGCGGGGCAGGGTGGGGCAGGGCAGGGTACAGCCGGGCAGAGCAAGGCAAGGCAAGGCAAGGCAGGGCAAGGCAGGGCAGGGCAGGGCAGGGCAAAGCACGGCAGGGCAGGATAGGGTGCGGTTCTTCGATAATTAAATGATAAGATTGTTCTCGCATTTTCTTGAAAAATTTCTTCGCATTATCTCGTCGTGTCTACAATTTTGATTGCTACTCAACTTATGCTTATCCATATCTCTAAATATTTAACATTTTGAATATACGATTTACGAGAATCATTCATTTCTTACGACGCCTGCTTATATTACGTGTCCTTTCGACGCCATTTTGAATGTATGAAGCGAATACCGGTGACCGGTCAATGGGATATTTCGATATTTATACGCCCGCTAGTTTACCAATGAATCCGGGTTTTTAATTACTTAGTAAATTATAAATGGAGATAATATTTGTCGTGATATATTTATTCAAGAATCAAAGCTATCCGACACACTCGTGATAAAATGATGATGAAAAGAGAGAATACATCTAAAGATGCATTTTAATTTTAATTTGGCTATTCTGTCTTGTATGTGAAAACATTACATTTTCTGCAACTAATCGTGATCTTGCTCTTGCAGATAAATCAAGAAAGCAAACATGTGCGACGAGGAAGTTGCCGCGCTCGTAGTCGACAATGGATCCGGCATGTGCAAGGCTGGTTTCGCCGGGGATGACGCTCCCCGCGCCGTCTTCCCTTCAATCGTCGGTAGGCCGCGTCATCAAGGTGTCATGGTCGGTATGGGACAAAAAGATTCGTATGTTGGTGATGAGGCCCAATCCAAGAGAGGTATCCTAACGCTCAAATATCCGATCGAGCATGGTATCGTTACCAACTGGGACGATATGGAGAAGATATGGCATCACACGTTTTATAACGAATTGCGAGTAGCTCCGGAAGAGCATCCGGTCCTTCTCACCGAGGCACCCTTAAATCCCAAGGCTAATCGTGAAAAGATGACACAGATCATGTTCGAGACATTCAATACTCCTGCGATGTACGTAGCGATCCAGGCTGTACTGTCGCTGTACGCTTCCGGTCGTACCACCGGTATCGTGTTAGACTCGGGCGATGGCGTTTCCCACACCGTACCGATCTACGAGGGATACGCTTTACCGCATGCTATTCTCCGCTTAGATTTGGCCGGTCGCGATTTGACCGATTATCTTATGAAGATTCTCACAGAGAGAGGATATTCCTTCACAACTACGGCCGAACGAGAAATCGTTCGCGACATCAAGGAGAAACTTTGCTATGTAGCGCTCGACTTTGAGCAAGAAATGGCTACAGCGGCTTCTTCGTCCAGTTTGGAGAAGAGCTACGAGCTTCCCGACGGTCAAGTCATCACTATAGGTAACGAACGATTCCGCTGCCCCGAGGCTCTCTTCCAACCCTCGTTCCTAGGTATGGAAGCTTGCGGTATTCACGAGACTACATACAACTCGATTATGAAGTGCGATGTCGACATCCGTAAGGACTTGTACGCCAATACCGTTCTGTCCGGCGGTACTACCATGTACCCTGGCATAGCCGACAGGATGCAGAAGGAGATCACTGCCTTAGCTCCATCTACCATGAAGATTAAGATTATCGCTCCACCCGAGAGGAAATATTCCGTATGGATCGGCGGATCGATTCTCGCGTCGCTCTCCACCTTCCAACAGATGTGGATCTCGAAGCAGGAATACGACGAGTCTGGGCCCTCCATCGTTCATAGGAAGTGCTTCTAAACGCGTTC